GATATGACATTCGTGTCATCAAGTTTACTCGAAGGACAGTATTCTATAATCGATACATTTGTTCAAAACATCATTGAGAGCTGGATAGGAAGGACAGTTACGATTGACAATTTCGAACACTTGTGGTTAATTAAAGGCCTTAGTACATTCATTTATAGGAATCCTAAAAATGATGAAATAATCGACGAAGAAATGAAATTTCGCCTATTTGCGAATCTAAAAATAAAAAGCCTTAACAATCTGCTAAGTATGGTAAAGTATCAATTTTGCTTGGATAAAATTACAGAAAAAAATGTATTGAATATATTGATTGATAATATATTTTTCACTTCATACTTGCGCTTTCTACTTTATATTTCTACTACATATTTACTATACTATTTTCTGAAACTGAATTACTATTACAGCCGCAGTTATTAAATACCGTCTCTTTAGTACCTGATTTTACGAATGGATTATTGCCCATGAATATTATCAAGTACGTGTCGGAAAAAGGATGTGTGTTTTTGAATTACTTACAAGATATCTTAGGTGGTCCCGAAAAATTCCATCCTTTTCTTGTATTTTGTATTGAAAACCGTAGAATCCTAACGAGTGATCGTTTTAAGACTTCCCTGTATGAATATTTTAGCCATAAACACAAGGTAACATGATTTTTATGCAAATAAACTATAGTTCTTAATTTTAGTTTTTTAGTTTATTAAGCAGCGAATAACAATTTTTATCTTGTGGCTAGATATTAAATATTGCAGTAAATTGGGATAAATGGTTTAATGAACCACGTTTCCCAGCTTCTCACCCTTATATTATGGACAGAAGGAAAACTTTTTGGCAAGGTCAAGCAGACCTGTGGATCGCACAAAGAATACCGAGTTTTGATACGATTGGACTGGACCAGTCTAATGATCTCGCTATAATAGAATTTTTAACCTATTTACTTACATTGTCTACGGTTCTGGCGGCATACCAGTTACGAAAGATAGAACATGAATTTCTGCGTGACCAGAATATTTGTGAAATAAGGTAAATATACTTTTCTATGTTTAGATTGTTTTGTAGTTGAGTAACATATCGCGCACGTATCTCGCAGGT